GTTGTTGAATAATGATGCACGCATTTCTTATTTGAAACACGAGTGCACCAACCTGACGAATGCCAGGAGGGAATCTCTCAAACTATGCATGGTTGTCAAGTCTCAATATCTTTGCGGCCCGTGACATGGGAGTCGTCCAAAATAACGATTGGTCTCAAGAAAAGTACTAAACGAAATGCATTGTTCTAAACCGTTATCATATGAATCGTCACTTTATCGTAAGTCCTAATACTGTATGTTTTAACACAGCCCAAAATTTTGCTCTAACTTGACGATCAAATGTCCCCATTTTTCTATCTATGCTGGGATGCAGGCTGAGGTTTGCATTGATTGTCACGATGATCACTACTAATTCACCACTGTAAATGATTGGCACAAGTAAGTGTAAAGTGGCTGGATAGAATCGCTTTATTCATTCTTTTATTCAAAGCAACTATTGTACAGTATTTGCACATTAATTTCTTCCATATATTTGCTTCGGTGTCTGCTTTTGCGGGGTATCTTCGACCATAATAACTAGCACCAATAACGAAACTGACCCGTATTTTGACATATATAGAACATACGTTAGTTTAGACGATTGCTTTTGCAACTGGACCCCGCTATAAATCTCATAATATTATGGTACAATAGTTACAACCTTATGTGCCTCAACCTGAGTGGATTTGCACACAATTTTGCAAACTAGTAGCAAAAATAGCGTCCTTGGCCACACGGTATAGACACGTCGCAGTTGAATGATTAATTAATTTTCATGAAATACCCATCACATGTTTTTCGTACATGATTATGACAGGTTTACCAGGTTATGTCAGAGAAACAATATTTCGAGCTGTCTGAAAGAAAGTGAATATAGTAGCGATATATTTTTTGCTTTTAGTTATTACAACACTACATCCTGGAAGCACGACGTATGCGTGAATAATGTTCAGCTACCAAAATATTGGCACTGTGTTTGGCTGTGGGTTGAGAGTGGTTGAGAGAGATCGAGTTCCGATAATACCCGCACGTAAACTCGGTGCGATCTAAAACTAATGGGCTTTTACATGAAAATGACTTGAACTCTCTCCCGGGTTCATACCGTGCAATTCGCAAGCCACTAAAATTGTATTTCGCATTACAAACGCCGCAACTGGTTTCTGACAGTCTCGGCGTAGCATTAAGCCATTAACCCCGAGTTGTCTTTATAATAGACTACCGGGGCATGTTTTCATAAAAAAGGGCTCAACCCGGGCCATCATTTAACGATTAATGTATAGGTACAGCAGTAGCAGAGCCCTCTTGACTAGAGGGTGCAGCAGGTACTAAGTTATCTTTTAAGGAAAATGCCAGTTTTCTCAAGGTCGTGCAAACAAACCTGAGAGCACGAGGCTTTTTACCAAGTATCACGCTCGCTGGTATAACTTTTAGTAATAATCGAGCAGGATTGCGCTTCGATGTTTAGGCGCGGGTAACCGTTACCCTACGGTGTTCGCAATGTTATGCCCATTCTTTTACATCTATTAAACATTAGAGGTACACGTGCACGGGTGAGGCGTACATAATACATGCACGCGGTTCTTGTTTAGAGTGTTTCATAGACAGCACCAAAAATGCCACGAGGTTTTATAGGTACATATATCGATGGACCCGAACGCACTCAATAGTAAATAATTTAGTAATATACAGTAAATAGTTGCCAGTGCAGCTATGTTGTATTGCGTTATTTGCTACGAGAGCCTGCAGATGTATCTATAACGGGGGTGCGCCTGTGTACAGGGAGCGGGATGATCAATTGAGCTTCGTTCTTTCGCGCGCGGTTCATTCGTGCGCTAGAATCCCAAGAATCCGTGTACATCTGCCAACGAAGCGACGGTAATTGATTGCATGCGCACAAAGCATTCACAAAGCCCTGATTTCACCCAGGTAGCTCCTGTTATAGGCAGGAGGTGTGTGCACAGAAGGCGATATATATTAGATGAAGGCGCAATGCTACGATTTAGTGACACTTTATTGACTAAAGTCGATTTGCTTCCAGATAAACGGGGTCAGTTTACGATTGCTGATGCGTATAGCAACGCAGTACTCACATATCGTAATCTCATTGAACATTATTGACGTATATATCCGTATATAAATAATCAATGTTGAAAGCATCAGTCAGAATGATACGGCAGGCGTCGTCCAGTAACAAATGCACATCATGCATTATGCGTAATAATTGGTATGCACTTTACACTAGGGAGTGTCTATATTCAGGCCAGTACGGGAGATTAC